CTTTAGCATTGTCCTTTCATATGTTAACTTTCACAGGTAATTTTTATCTGGTCACTGGTGAAATTTAATAGACCTACTTATGGCGAAATTCCATACCCGGACTGGGGAGTGGCTTTAGGCTGGTGTTTGATTATTTTCTGCATTATTTGGATTCCAATTATGGCTATTATAAAAATAATTCAAGCTAAAGGAAACATCATTCAAGTAAGTACATTATTTGTTCACCCCCCCAAATCAAGTGTCCTTCCATCACCGTTTGTCCCCCTTTTACCCTTTCTTTTTCTTTTTCCTTTTACCCTTTCTTACCTCTCCCCAGCTACTTTACTTCTGGTAATCACCATACTGTTATCTATGAGATCTATGAGTTGTTTTTTCTTGCGGGGGGGGGGTTGCTTAATTTCTTCACCCTTTTCACCCAGTACCCCCACCCCCTCCCTCTGACAGCTGCCAGTCTTTTCTCTATATCTATAAGAATGTTTCTATTTTATTAGTTTACATATAGGTGATGTATTATAGAACTGTACCCCTGAAAGCTATATAATTTTATTAACCAATGTCACCCCAATAAATTCAATTAAAATTAACATTATTTGTACTTCATTTAAATCACTATGATCAAACTAAAGATTAACTTACCAATATGTAGGTAATATGAGCTTATGACCATGAGATCAAATTAATCACTCCTTCCATTAGGCTACTTCTGTATCTGAGACAAACATCCATTACTATGTGCATAGCATTGTATTACACTATACATATATTTGTGTGTCTCCTTGTACTAAACTATAAGGTCCGTTTAAAAGCAGTCTTGTCTTGTTTGTTGCTGTAGCCTCGGGTGCTATTAGAGTGCTTAGCACATAAGTTATCATGTCTACACTTGTACTAAGTTGTTCCTGAAGATGATGCTAAAGCAAAGCAAATGACCTTTTTTGTGTGTGTTATATCTATAATCTTCATTTGTAAAACCTGGTCTGAAAAAAAACAAACCCACTCTTTTTATAATATATATGCTAATAGAATGTTTACACTGGGAAAAGCCTGGTAAATTATCTTGAACCCAAATTAGGTCCTGAGTCACCTCTCTTCCTTGGGGGCCTAGGGGGATGGAGTTGATTATGACACATCATTAGGGCATAGGGCAATAATAAGGTAGGCTCAGTAGTCAGATTTAAATATGTATATCTATATCTATATCTATCTATCTATCTATCTATCTATATATAATGTCAGAGAGAGAGAGAGAGAGAGAGAGAGAGAGAGAGAGAGAGAGAGAGAGAGAGAGAGAGAGAGAGAGAGAGAGAGAGAGAGAGAGAGAGAGAGAGAGAGAGAGAGAGAGAGAGAGAGAGAGAGAGAGAGAGAGAGAGAGAGAAACATCAATGATGAGAGAGAATAATTGGTTGGCTGCCTCCTGCACGATTCCCACTGGGGATCAAACGTAACCTCCCGTACATAGGTTGACACTCAATCACTGAGCCACACCAGCTGGGCTCAGTAGTTGGATTTAAAATAAATATCTAAGCCCATTCAAGAATGGATCTAGATTAATTGTTTTAACCTGGAACTCCCTTTCTTTGGCTCTGGAAACTTTTCAGGTATACACTGGTTTAGATCCCCACCAAACAGTCACCTGGAGACTAGGGCAAAGAAATTTAACATTCTAAAAAAAATGTACTTTGATATGTATTTACAGATTGTAGCACTTAAGTTCTAAGACAGCTTTTCCTCCCCTCATTTCAGCGTATTGTGAGCTGCTGCAGACCAGCTCCTAACTGGGGTCCATACCTGGAACAACACCGTGGGGAGAGATATAAAGACATGGTGGATCCTAAGAAAGAGATTGACCATGAAATACCTACTGTCAGTGGCAGTGGAAAACCAGAATAACTTCTAAGTTTAAAAAATATGTGCTTGTGTAATGTGATTATTTTAGAGAAAATTTTTATTTATTTGTATGTCAATTGAATAAAATGTATATATTATGTTCATAATAGTATAACAGCTATTTTTTCCCATTTAAGCAGGAATATAATGTAAAAATGTTTAGCAATGTGCCTATTATATTTCTTTTTAGATGATCTATCTGTATTAACACACATAGCTGTCTCTATTTCACAATAACATTTTTGTACACATTACCATAATATATTGAAGGCTTTAATTTGAGCAGGTTATTTAGAAAATAGTTATATTTGCTATTGTATAAGTTTTATAATATTACTTGTTTATATTTTCTTGTTATACAATCTTTTATTCCCCATAAAGCTGGGGAAAATAAATCAGTATATTTAAAAGAAAGTATTAAAATTGAAGGCCTCACTTAATTAGAAATGGTACACATATATATGGAATAAATGGACTGTATATATAACATGTGGATATAGTTTAATACTTTTGATCCAAATATGTCTAAAAACTTTAGGTATTAATGGCTAACTTTTTCTATGTGAACATAGTAATGATGTCCTTTATTTATAAATAGTAAAATAAGACAGAAAAATAAGGGCCCTGTGTACAGTAAGTGATAAATCTAGAAAATAGAAACCAGAATCTTTAAGTACTTCCTTCCCCATATAATCTCTTCCTTAGGTTATATTTGGAAGAAAAACATGACCCATCTAATTTCTACTACTTTAGAAAATTAAGAGTTCATTGTACTCTTTGAAATCTAGCAGTAATTTCAAATAGAACATGAACAAACTATGAGTGAGGAAATGGCTTCAATCAAATTTAAAAATTTATGTTGTAATATATTGTTAATAGATCAAGTAGGATGATTTTGTCTTATTTAAATATGTTACTACTTATAGATGATAACTTGTTTACATCCTTATAGGAGATAACTTTGTTAAACTTGTTAAGAATGAAAGAAACCAAATTAGAAAGTCCTAGGTCCCAGTTTCCTTACAGAAGATCATGAAAACATATTACATCATTCATAGTTTTTTACAGTGATTACATATTATTGACAATTGGCTGAAACATCACAGCCTAGGATGATGAACATTGCCTTAATAGGTAAGACATTTTTCAACTATTTTTAAAGTTTTTAACCTGGGCTTCAGAGAACATATGGAAGGAAGGCAGCAGGAAACACACCAGGTGTTAGACTGGGTCACACTGGTCCTGGATTCAACAACCTTGGTACTTGAGTTCTGGCTAGGAAAGAATTCAGAGCCAACACTTGTTTATTTATTTATAAAATCACAGAGATGGAAGAAGTAATTTTTAGGAGAAATGGGCTTATGAAACAAGTTATAGAGGTAAAGCAAGGGCCCTTTGAGTTTGGGAGTGAGGAAGGTAATGGTAAGGGCCTGGGGACAGGGAAAGGAGAGGGGAAGGCAGGGAATGCTCCCAGGAGGGAGAGTGCACTGGGTCCTCATCCTGAAGGTTTTAAGGGTAGAATTTTTAGGGGAGGTTCCAAGGGAAGATTTTAACAGAATAATTAGCAGCTTTCCAGGTGTTTCTTTTCAGGGTCTAGGTCTCCACTGATTGCTTGCTTGGCACCAGGGCAGGGGGTCATTTTCCGATGCAGCTGGTCCTGAGGTCAGCCATGGGGCCACTGGTCTGGTTTTGCTGCTTTTCTGGGCTGGAGCTGAAATGCAACTGAGGCCTAGATGTTACCTCTAGGGAGGAAAGGTCAGGGGGTCCAAACTGCAAGACCAGCGATATGCTAGGGGAGGAAAGGTCACCCTGGGGGTGAGGTCCCACCCTACTATTGTCCTTTGCTAGGCACCTGGGGCTTTCCACGCTGGTGACCCTCTGTACCTGGCCCATCATCCTTGCTCTGCTCATGTCTGTCTTACTGCCTACCACCTAAGTAAAATGATATGCAATATTATTCTATGTGTATGTATGCATGCATTTTTCTAAGGAAAGTATCCATAATCTTCAACAGAATATCAAAGAGTTCCGTGGCTCAAAAGTTTAAGAACCATACATACCACTCCTAGCTTTTCTTCTTGACAAGTAAGAAATAAAAGGAATAATTTTAAACTTTAATTTCTTAAACATTTTAAATTCATTTTCTTCCTTTAGATTGCAGATTATAGGAGTAAGGAATTAAAGCATTTTTAAATTTATACTAATAATTGGTTTTGAGAGGAGTGGGCATGTAGGTAGGTAAGCAGGTAGCCCTGTAATTGAATGACCTCAGTGAGTTATGTACATACATATAAGATAAACTCATCTTAGATATTTTAAGGGTTTTCTTTGAGGGAAGGCAGGTCAAATGCTGTTAGTGAATTTCCATAGATTGTTAACGGAGTTACACTGGATTTTATAAAGTTTTATATGAAGTAGATGGGTGACTAGAGCTTAAAAGAATTTTATTCCCTTAATTTTAATCCATATTATACCACAGGCATTCTGCCATTATATTTTGATGCTATTTGAGGTGTGGAATTTTTTTTATCAAATATAAAAATGCATGCTATTTTCTATAAGTGATTCTTGCAATTCAGGAAAGATTTAGGTACATTTCTAAGGAAATCTATACTAATAATAGAGGAATATGCAAATTGGCTGGGATGCTGTCAAGTAATGACCAATTAGGACGAGGGTGGGGCTCAGCAGCGAGCTCTCAGCATACCTGCTCTGAGGTCTGAAGAGAGGTTTGAGGCACAGAGAGGAAGGGAGAGCAGATAGGCAGTTAGGGCGATCAGGCCAGGAGGGGAGCACAGATAGGCAGCTAGGGCCATCAGGCTGGCAGGCAAGAGCAGTTAGAGAGATCAGGCCGGCAAAGGGGAGTAGGTAGGGGGATCAGGCTGGCAGGGGAGAGCAGTTAGGGCCATCAGGCCAGCAGGGGGGCAGTTAGGGGCATCAGGCAGGCAGACAGATGAGCGGTTAGGAGCCAGTGGTTCCGGATTGTGAGAGGGATCCGTATTGGAAAGGGTGCAGGCTGGGCTGAGGGACACCCCCCAACCCTGGGCACAAATTCTGTGCACTGGGCCTCTAGTAATATATAATTGGCAGTGGGAAAAGGATGATGGGGAAGAAACCCCCTGTAGGAGCTTACTACAAAGAGTAAGAGTGTGTCTGATTCTTTTCACAAAGGTGTAAAGCACAGTTCTTAACAGAGTGCCTGGGTGCTCAATGACAGCTTATTATCACTACTACACAGATTTCACAAAAAAATAGTATTCTGCATTAATGGAAAGTGTCCCATCAAATCCATTTACTTTAATGCAAACTTGGAGACATGTGTGGTGCTGTATTGTAAACTATTAGGGAAAACCATTTTTCACACAAGTGAAATTTCAAATCACTATACCTTAACTCGATAATTTCCCTTCTCTATTGTGCTTTCATTCTTTCCCCAGTTAAATATATATTAGCAACTTCTAATCAATTCTATAAATGTAAATAAGCAAATTGATAAATATCTGGATTTTGTATCTTACTTGGCATCCCCTCCTCTTTTAAAAATGAACTATTTGGTATAAACACACACAATCAAATTAATCCACTCAAAGTGCCTTTAATGATTGACTTCATAGTCAATACATTCTATACACATGCCAGTGGAATTAAGGTCAAATAATGCACCATTTACATCCTCAGTAACTAGGAAATGTTCCAATTCAAGCATGTTGTATTCTGCCATCCCGAGATTTACCAGGATTAGTTTCTGGATGACAACTGATTGTGGAAAATTAATTAACGCATCCTGAGAGAGATTGCTGATTGTAAGACTGTTAACAGTATTGCGCTTAGTTGACCAAGTAGAAGAGGATGATCTTACTAGTACAAAAACAGTTGAATCTGATGATGACATTTGATGGTTTCTCTGTAAGAGATGGAAATCACACATATATACTTTATTGAGTTTAGCAATTTAAAAATGCTACCAAATAATGACATGCTTAGTCTTGGTTACCAAAATCAACTGCCTGTGCTCCCCTAAAAATCAGAGATTAAAAATCTGTTGAAGATCCAGAGACAGAGCAGCACTGATCAGACTGTCAAACCCCAGAGGGAAGGTAGGGGAGGGTGGGGGTAAGGGGGAAAGATCAACCAAAGGACTTGTATGCATGCATATAAGCCTAACCAATGGACACAGACACAGGGGGGTGAGGGCATGAGTTGGGGAGGTGGGGGAGGGTTATGGTGGGATAAGGACACATATGTAATACCTTAATCAATAAAGAAATTTTAAAAAAGAAATAAATGTTCTTATGGTAGTTGATCAAGTCAAATGCTAGAAATATCTAATCCCAAGTGAATCTTAAACCCAAGAATTTTATTCATTGTGCTTGAAAAGAAAGATGGTTTTTGATCTGAGATATCTTTATGAGTTTAATAAAGAACTCTACTTATAAATGAAAAAATAATATGTTGAATGATTACATTGATTTGGAAATGTGATATTACCAAACACAGACTGAGAGGGAAAATATTTGAAAGTGCCTTTCCATGCTAAAATGCCATGTCCTTGCCTTACATTTCTTGGGCAGTCCAGTAGGTCTGTATGTGGACTCAGTCTGACCCTTACCTAAAAGTACTTCCTTTGCCACTTTAAATATCACCAGGAATATCACATTTTGGCTTGAATGATTTGTGAATGCCCCTAAAGTTCTCATAAAGATGGCTGAAAAGGAAAAACAGATCATAGAGGCAGTAAAAGCCAGAGAAGAAAAGGTACAGATTCCTCAAACAGGAGGTAGTGGTGGAGAGTGGGCACTTTAAGCTGTACTTTTCAAGTGGGTAAAAAGCTGACCATATCACTTAGTGACTTGGGTTTTTTTTTTCTATAACAAATCACAGCTGTCAAATCACGAGTCAAGATGAGAAAAGTGTGGGGGGTAAAGAATAAACATCTGGGGCTCTCTCAAGAGAAGGGGAATGAGGTGACCTTCCCTTACCCTTATTGTACCATTTTACTATGTTTTTACTTTCTTATACAACTCCCACCTCCTCCCCCCCACCCACCACATCCATGTATTCACCTAGTTTCAACTCTTTCCAATCTCTCTTACGCACTTTACCTGAAGCCGGTCTTTCCAGAAGAGAAACACGTAGGCGAACAACATACCACCAATTAGGAGCAACAGGATACACATGGCTCCTCTTCGTCCTCTTCTCTCGCTCTTCTCAGGCACTCAGGGGCCACTAGCCACTGGAACTCCAGAAGCCCCTGGCCAGTGTGCTGGTCTTCCTACACTGCCTGGTGCTACTGGGATACGCTTCAGCGTCCCGCCTTATATACTGGAGGGCACGTGACCTCACAATTGAGCATGCGCGTAGGAGAACTATGTCACAATTTGATGACACATAATCCACCTGGGGGAAACCAGGCGGCGAGTAAGAGCCATATGGGGTGAGTTCAGATTTCCAGAAAGCTGAAACATGGTAGAGAAGTTCAGACACCGAGTTGGCTGGTTAAATGTAGTATTTTACAAGTGCTCTTCCCTCCTCTCTTTCTTCTTTTTAAAGATATGTCTTTCTCTACTGCAACTACTCCACTATTCATTTCAAAGAACTAGTTAAAAAACAAGATAGAAATGTACCGTAAAAAGTAATTACCCACAAATTATAAGACTTTGTCAGAGACCTCCTCCATGCTCCCATTCCTATTTTAGGATTCACGCCAACCCTATAGAATTCAGATAATTATGTAAATTTGTGTTACTGTACATTTGAAAAAAGTAATTCAACAGACATGTCCCCAAATAATTCTCACACTATTTTAAGCTTTAGGTGTTTCTAATACTGTGAGTACTTCTGGAAATGCAGAAACAGATTTAGGCGTTAAGTAAACTCATTTGAAACTAATACCTAAATCCACAGAGTTTGAGTCCAAAGAGAAACTCTTCCATTCCCTCACTTTCATCCCCGGCCCTTCAATCTTTCTACCTCCACTGGTTAACTTATGAGCATCAAGTATTTCATATTTTCCACCCAAGGACTTGAACACTATGTTTGGAATAGTATTCATGAAAACTAACAGATACAGAAAACATTGTACTAAACAAGTTAGAAATATTCAAGAAATTCAGGTAAACGTACAAGATGACACTGAACTATAAAAAAGCCAGGATAATCTTAAGATGAGTGTCAAACTGCAGCTCATTAACTGCTTGGGGAATAACTCATCTTCATATAGATAGGATGGAGAAGAATTATATGTATAAACTTTTCATACCAAACTTATTTCCCAATTATGACTTCAAAGCTTAAAAGATTTATTTATTCAATAAGTATTTATTATATACCCAAGCAAAGGTTAGGCACTGTGATGTATTCTGGGAGCATGATTATGAGCAAAAAATAAAGCCTCTGCTCACCTGGAAATGCATTCAAGCATGGGAGATAAGATATTAATCAAATACCCACAGAAATGAATGTAAAAGTGCTAAGATAATCATGTATCATGCTTGTAGTTCTCTGAGTTTCCTGGATCTTGAATTCATGTCTGACATTAAGCTGGGGAAAATTATTAGTTCTTATTGCTGAAAATGTGTCTCCTTCTCCACTCACCTCTTATTCTTCCTCCTGTAGCCTCCTCCTCCTCGCTCTCCTATTCTGGTATCCCCACTATGAATGTTACACCTTTTGTAGTTGTCTCTCAGTCATTGGTACTCTATTCTGGTCTTTTCATCAGTTTTTTTTTTCTCTTTCCATTTAATTTCTTTCACTTTAATTTGTTTCAGTTACATTTGGTGTATAATATTATATTAGTTTCAGGTGTATAACCTCATTATTAAATATAAATATATAACTTATGAAATGATCACCAATAAACCTAGTACCCATCTGACACCGTACCTAGTTATCACAATATTGTTGACTATATTTCCTATGATGTACTTTACAAGCCTGTGACTATTTTATAACTACCAATTTGTACTTCTTAATCCTGCCATCTTTTTTACCCAACTCTCCCCTCCACCCCGCAAATCTGGCAATTGTCAAAATGTTCTCTATGTACAAGTCTGTTTGTTTATTTTATTTTTTGAATTCCATATATAAGTGAAATCACCTGGCATTTGTCTTTCTAAGTTATTTCACCCAGCACGATACCCTCTAGGTTCCTCCATGTTGTTGCTGATGGCAACATTTCATTATTTATTATGACTGAATCATATTCCATTATATATATATACACCACTTCTTTATCCATTCCTCTGTTGATGAGCACTTGGGCTGCTTCCATATCTCTGCTATTGTAAATAATGCAGCAATAAACATATAGATGTATATGTCCTTTAGATTTAGTGCTTTCTTTGATAAATACCCTGAAGTGTAATTGCTGGATCCCTCTTTGTCTTTAATAGCCTTTGTTTTAAAGTCTATTTTGTCTGGTATAAGTATTGCTACCCCAGTTTTTTTTGTTTGTTTCCATTTTCATAAAATACCCTTTTCCATCCCTTTACTTTCAGCCTCTGTGTATCTTTTGATGTGAAATGAGTCTGTGTTAGCATATGTAAGGGTCTTATTTTAAGCCAATGTATACCTCTTGATTGGAACATTTAATCCATTTGCATTTAAAATAGTTACCAATAAATATGTATTTATTGCCATTTTATTATTCATGTATTTTTTTTTTTCTGAAAAAAGTCCTTTTAACATTTCCTGTAATACTGATTTGGTGGTGATGAACCCCTTTAACTTTTTCTTGTCTGGGAAGCTCTTTATTTGTCCTTCAATTCTAAACAGTAACTTTTCTGTGTAGAGTAATCTTGATTGTAGGTCCTTACTTTTCATTACTTTGAATATTTCATGCCACTCCCTTTTGGCCAGCAAAGTTTCTGTTGAGAAATCAGCTGATAGTCTTATGGGAGCTCCCCTATCGGTAATTAGCTGCTTTTCTCCTGCTGCTTTTCAGATTTTTCCTTTGCCTTTAACTTTTTGCATTTCAATTATGATGTGTCTTGGTGTGGGCCTCTTTGGGTTTATCTTGTTTGGGACTCAGCACTTCCTGTACTTACTAGTAAATGTTTATTTCCATCACCAGGTAACAGAAGCTTTCCATCATTATTTCTTCAAATAGGTTTCAAATTTCTTGCTCTCTCTCTCTTCTTCTGGCATCCCCATGATGCAAATGTTGGTACACTTGAAGTTGTCCCAAAGACTCCTTAAACTATCCTCATTTTTTGGATTCTTTTTCTTTTTGCTGTTCTGATTGGGTATTTACTGCTTCATTATCTTACAAATCTCTTATATGATATTCTGCTTCATCTACTCCACTGTTGATAGCCTGTAATGTATTCTTCATTTCACTTCATGCATTCTTCATTTATGACTGGTTCTTTTTTATGTTTCCTATTTCTGTGTTGAAGTTCTCACTCAGTTCCTCTACTTTCCCCCTAAGTTCATTGAGCATCGTTATAAGCAGTGTTTTGAACTCTGCAGCTTGTATATTGCTTGTCTCCATTTTGCTTAGTTCTTTTTCTGGAGTTTTGTTCTGTTTCTTTCTCTCCTCATTTTGGCTGCCTCTCTGTGTTTGCTTCTGTATATTAGGTAGAGCTGCTATGTCTCCCAGTCGTGGTAGGGTGGCCTTATATAGTAGGTGCTGTGTAGGGACTAGTGGCTCAGTCTCCCTGGTCACCTGAGCTGGGCATTCCAGATGCACCCCCTTTGCTCATGTGAACTGCATGCTCCCTCCTGTTGTAGTTGAGCCTTGATTGCTATTGGTACATGATTAGCTGACCTTCCAGCCAATCAGCTTTGAGGATGGGCTGCAACCATAATGGAGAAGCTGCTGTTCAGGGCCAACTCCATGGAATGGAGTCACTTCACCAGGGTTCCAGTGCTCAATAATCTTCCCCTTGAGTATGTCATTCGTGAAGGTGGTTGGATGGTGCTTCAATGTGGTCTGAAGGTGTCCACTGGGGGCACTGACTCTAGGGTCTCTCATAGGTGTAGGCCAAGGTTAGCTGCCACCTGTGCCTTCCCTAGGCCAGCCAGCCCGAGCTACAAAGAGATCTTAAGATGATTGTTACTTGTGCTGGGCTTGATGGTGCCCATAAGAGACCAAGCTGTGAACCAAGGCTGGATGTCACTAGTGCCAGGCTGGGGTCACTTAGTAAGAGGTCCGGGGCATGCCCAAGCCAGATGCTGCTAATTTTAGAGATTTTAGGAAATTTTTAGCATGTGCCAAGACAGGCCATTTCTATGGAAAAGATACTAGAAACAGCTTGGTTGGGCCCACAAGTTAAGTGGGACTATTACAGCTCAGGGGCCAGCCAGAACAGGCCTGCCTCAGGTTGACCTGTCACATGTGGATCCTTTACTTCACGTAGGAAAGATTTTGCAACATGAATCCAGATAGGTTTGAGAGTATGTTTATTAATGTTGGGGACAATGAAACAAAGAAAGAAATTAGAATAGATGAAACAACAGGGGGACCGTAGGCAGTGTTCTGCTTTGACTCTCTAGAAATGCTATGGGAGAGAAGTGAGCCAAGGTGGAGCTGCTGTGAGGTCACTGGGAAGTCAGAAAAAGAGGCCCTTGGAGACAGCATCAGGGGTGAGCCCTGCTCACGCTGCCACTGCCCACCACTCCTATGACTGCAAGTCTTGTGGGGACCCTTAGAATTCAGGAAGAAAGAAAAAGTTCATGCCCAGGAAGGGATGTGGGCATACTCTAGACTAGAGCAAGCCCCATGGAATCTTTGCCCTGAGGGCTTTTATCCATTTTTTTTCCATACAAGCAAGAATCTTAGGGGAGGCTTTCAGTAGAATATTCATCACCTTTCCAGGTGCATTTTTAATATGCTGATGCATTAAAATGAGTGTATAGTGGAGTTTGGGGTTATTTTTTGGTCTGTTTTACTGTCTTACTTTTATCTTAGGTCTGTCTGGCATTAGTGGGGCTCTTGTTATTTGTTCCCCAACTTCATCTGTCCTTGTTTAGCTGGCACAAATGACATTAATTGGGCCTTTGTCCTCTATTTCTCCAGGCCAGAGTGATTTAAACTGTGTATTTTCTAGTTATGGAGGAGGGTATAAACGATTTGCTCTTAAGTTTGCTTGGTGAAGGAAGATAGGGCCTTGCAATTCACAAGCTGGCTGCAAGCTGTCCAAATTGTTTGGATTTTCCTAGCCTCTTACTGTCCTATTTCAGGGTGAGGTCTCAGGGAATCATTAGGGCAGAGTGAATAGTGTGAGCCAGGTTGATGGTGCCCGCTGCCAGCTCTGTAGAGGGAGAGCTCAGCAAGGGAACAATGGCCTCTGCCACCAG